GCTTCTACTGAACTATCCATCACAGAGCCTGGAGCTGTTAACATCAGAGACCCAGGTGCAGATCATGGTGAGCTCGGCAGACCAAATGCAGATCCACTTCATCTAAACAGACGAGGCCTGGTTTAAAATCACCACGAGCTCCACGATCTGTAAGCCAGGACTAAACATACTGATAGACAGGTTTGTTGACGACCTGCTTCATATCAACTGTCTGTCGCCTTCAGGCAAATAATTAGTTAATTTAATACTAACATATTGAAAATGTCTACAATGTTGTATGTCTGGATGGTAAATGGACTTAAGTTTATAAAGCGCTTTTCTAGTCTTCTGAGTACTTAAAGTGTTTTAAAACCGCATGTCACACCTACCCAGTCACACTCTGATGGCAGAGGTCGCTATGTAGTGAGAGCATCAGAAGTAACTAATCCCATTCAGGGTTAAGTGTCTTGCCTAAGGACACATCTGACATGTTGCTGCAGGCGCTGGGGATCGAACCCTAGACCTTCCGGTTGAGAGACGACGACTCTACCAGCTGAGTCTGGAGCGTGTTTTCCTCTCACACTGCCACAGCAGCACTAAATAATATGTACACAAAAGTAACACTAAAGTTACATTACCAAGTAACTAGTTACTTTTATAATGCAGTTACTCAGTTACTTTTTGATATAGCAGTAACTAGTAACTCTAACTAGTTACTAATATAAAGTGACTAGCCCATGACTACTTCTGATATTTCTTACATTAACTAAAAACAACAAGCTCACAACATTTAAATGGAAAATAATTATAATTCATGAAAATGATAAAACATAAAAACAATAAGCATGTCTTTTTAACACTGGTGGGAAGGCCGTACTCACAGCGTTCATGTCGATCCCGTTGGTGTAGGACCAGGCGTGTTGGAAGTACTCCTCTAGACGCTGCCTCAGAGGGTTCGGGATCTGGTGGAAGCGGATGAACTCCCGGACTCTCATCATCTGGGCGTGGTAACGAGCCGTACCGGAGTACAGCCGCTGAATGATGGCTGACACGTTACCGAAGATACTGGCATACATCAGAGCTGCAGGGCGCACACAGACACTCTCAGTTATCAAAGAAATATAACTGCTGATTGTCCAATTCCCTCCAGCTAAGAGAGAAAAGACCAGACTCCCATATTTGCTTCAATGCATATCCCTCAGATGCAGACTCGAGTGGATTCCAGGCAAATGGCGCATAAAGCAAATCTACAGTGACAACTACAAACCACAGGACTGAAGATAAATCAGGACAAAATCAAGTTTGTGGCTCGCTAAGCTTTAATTGAACGCTCTTATGGTAGCTTGTAATCAAATTATAACTCAGCCAATACATAAAATAAAATGTGTTTTACAGTTCACTTCACTAGAAGCATACACAAAAGTTTTCTGTTTCAGTATGAAAAAATTATGTTACTAAAAGGCAACCTGGCAAACTGCAAACTTGTGTAGTTATGATAGCTTTGCTTTGAGTCTCATGCTAGCTAGGATGAAACAGGATAGGATAGTACTTTATTGATCCCTAGAGGGGAAATTCGGGCGTTACAGCAGCACAGACAAGAAAGCTCAAAAACACATTAAACAGAATAGATAAGATAAATTAAAATTGGTGATGAAAAGTGGTGATGAAGTTAAATTAAAAATAAAAACAGGGGGTATATACGGTACAAAAATGAATGTTGCAACGCTGCAGCAGTGTCCCACAATAGACACCGAACAGTGCAAAAATACTTAATAAAAGCAAGAAAATAGACGAAATAAAGAAAAAAAGAGTCGGAGCTGCTGCAACAGGCTGCCGACTCTCAGCGCCCGTAGACAATATCATGAAATGCACGGGCTATAAAAATGAATCACTTTCTAATCAAACAAAAGCACAACACAGATGGACAGACACAAAGGGACATTATGTAAATTAGGAAAATGACGACTCAACACACAAACAAAGACAAATTAGTGAGCAAAAAGCAGGTGAAAAGTAGGAAACATCCATGAAGAGATTTATTAACTTTGCTGAAAAGCTCTTCCACATTGACGTATGCTCTCTCACTCCAACTCACACAGCTAGTCAAAGTATCTTTCTCAAAGTTGAACTTAGAGCAGATGTTTTTTGACACTTCTGGAGTTTTTTTATGTGAAGCAGGCGTTCCCACTTTGAGATAACTAATCACACTGTAGAAAAAGTATTTTCTTTATGAGCACATACACCTGTCAACCTTTTTGACCATGAATACAAAGGAACAGAGAAACTGACTCACCAATGCACATTCTGAACACCTGACAATGATTGCAACAACAAACTACAAAAAGAACATGAAAAAGAAAGTGAGTTGAAAAGATAGTGAGGATCACCTCTCAAAACTTTGTTGAACCCGATCAGGTGTTTCTAATTGAGCTATGGGACATATGGATCTATCATCACAGGAAGTTCTTATTTCAAACCAGACTTCTGTCCCTTTAGATTCTCTCTAGCTTCTCTGACGTGGTTTAGTGATTCACTGACCTCCGACGAGCATGACGCAGATGGAGAAGATCTTCTCGGAGTTGGTGTTTGGGGAGACGTTCCGAAGCCGACGCTGGTCAGACTGCTGAAGGTGAAGTAAAGCGCGGTGACGTATTTGTCCCTGATAGAGGGACCCGACCCCATGATGGATTCATTGAACGGCTTCCCCAGCTGGCCGCCCAGCGTGGCCAACCAGCCGACCCCATGCGAGGTGGTCCGCTCCACGCTACCTATGGCATACCTGGGACAAGAAAAGAACATCTGGACTTTTCAATTATACACACTCAAACAGGAAACAGCATCATGTTTAATCATCAGCTCACAGGCTGAGAAAAAAAACGACTTCAATTATTTTAACTCAAATAGAAATAAAAAATCTCCTTTTTTCGACTGATTACAATAAAAAGAGAGAAGAGCTGAACGTTATTGTAAAGCTCTAAAAATATTAGAGTCTTTAATCCTACAGAGCCGGGCTTCCTCATCATTTAAAATCTGATTCTTTTGGTCAATACTTGGATCAAATTTTTTGGACAAGACTGCTCTATTATATACTCTGAAATTAAATGAGAGAGCAAGATTTATTGATTTCATGGTATAATAATTTCCTTAAAAGAATCAGATTCATTGCTGCAGTCTAGTGTGTGTGTCGAGAAGGGCTGAGGCTGCAGCACAGGAAATCTGTGTCGACTTGCAGGTCTACTGTAGTTTAGGCAGAGCAAGTCTAAGTGCAAGCAGGGTCTGTTTTAGCAGCAGAAGAAAGGCTTTGAGGACAAGTTTCTGACACACACAGACTAATAAAGAGATGTTAACTCTTCACCCATCTTTACTTTATTTTAAGACTAAAACAAAGATGAAGTGGTTGTCTGGTGTGGGCTCAGCTGTCCCTGCAGTGGTTTGTGTGTGACACATGTTAATGAAGTTAACATTACAAACACGCAGACTGACGCAGAGCATGTTGTTAATAAAGTTTTGGTTTGGTGTTAAAAAAAAAAACCACAGCATGATGTACCAGATGCAGGCCAGCCAGTGTGCGATGAGGGCGAAGGTGCACATGAGGAGGAAGAGGACGGCTGCCCCGTACTCTGAGTAGCGGTCCAACTTCCTGGCTACACGAACCAATCGCAATAACCGAGCCGTCTTCAATAAGCCAATCAGAGTGGTGGTCTGTTACAGAAGAGGAGAGCAGCGTATGACCCATGTGAGAATATAAAGAAGTTTCACATTTCTTCGCCTCTATCTTTGCTCCTTGTTTCCAAGGATTTTCTCTCTACTCTCTCAGTTTTTACCCAAACCTCTCCCTGCTTCCTCCCTACCTCACCCTCTCTTCTCCCATTAACCACCTTCTCTCTACCTCTCCCTCACCTCCTCTCCCCCTCCTTCCTCCCTACCTCTCCCTCTCCTCCTTCCTCCCTACCTCTCCCTCTCCTCCTTTCCCCTCCCTCCCTCCCTCTTCCCTACCTCTCCACTTCTCTCCCCTCCTCTCCCTCCCTCCTCCTCTAACCACCTCCTCTCTCCCTCCCTCCCTCCTCCCTACCTCTCCCTCCCTCTTCCCTACCTCTCCCTCTCCTCCTCCTCTAACCACCTCCTCTCCTGAGCGGTAGATGAGGAGGTCAAAGGGAATGGCGGCCACCATGTCGATGAGGAACCAGCCTTTAAAGTAGTGCACAGCGATCTTGGTAGACTGACTCACCACCTGAGGACACACAGAGCGGACAGCGTGTAATCAATGTATCATTATGAGAGTTTTAGCAGCACTTCTTATAACAGCTCATTAAGAAGAGGGCAATAATGGGTAATATTGTTATTATAAAGAGGTAATACAAATGTAATAACATGTTATTACCAAAGAAATAACTAGGTCATGGCTTGTTAATAACAATATGCAAATCTGGGTAATATTTTACAGAAAATTATGAATCAAATAATGGTCCAAAATCTAAGGAGACAAATTTAAAGATATGAAAAAAATTGTTAAAATACAGAAATCCTTTGGTAACATGCCAACAATTAAATGGTTATATGATTAAATTCACCCAACCCTTTTATTCCAAACATTTGATTTACAGTAGTTTCAAAGAAACACTTTACAAACTATATGTTTAACCTTGTGACTTTTTGTACAACTGGAAAACCTTCTGGTAGTTTATGTGTAATAACAAATAATCCGTGCAGAAAAATGCTAAATTAAATGTGTAAGTCTGTGAATGGTCTGTTTTTTTTAATAGTTAAAAAGAGAAAAAGAGAAGAGAAGTAGTTGTTTTAGCATATTTCAAGACATTCTTTTTTTTAGAAATTGGTTACCATGAATATATCTCTTTAGTGTCATTGCTATAAAAACTATACTGTGCATTCACTGTGCATTTACGGTTCATTCACTGTGCAGTCATTCTGCAGTCCCACAGAGTGATCGGGTCACCTCATCATTAGAGTTCACATAGGTGGTCCTGAAGTTGATGATGATGTCAACAATAAACATGATGTCCACGATCAGATCCACCACATTTAGGGGGGAGCACGAGTACCCACAGGTCTGCATGGCTGCCTCCTCTTGGTCACTGAAGGAATGACATAAAAAAACATCAATAAAGGGATTTTATCCAAGGAAAATGGAGGATAAATACATTTAAAGAAATTCCATCAAATGTAATTATTCTGCAGGGCTGTGTCCTGTTGGTCATAACAACTATTCTTCTATTCTTCTCGAGTCGAGTGAGACCATAAATATCTGTCCCTTAAGGGGCAGACACAGAGAGAAAGGGGTCTCGGGATCATTTTAGGTTACTCATTGAACTGGACTCTTTGCTTTCTAACAATTAGTCTTAGAAAGAAATGATGTGCGTCTGCACCAACCTGAGCAGAAAAGTGGCAGAATAAGGAGTGAATATGGCAGTATAGATCACTAAGAGCAGGATGACCCAGTCCCACACGGCTTTAAAGGGACTGTAGTGGAGGATGGTCCACTTCTGGATCCTAGGGGTCTGCAGCTTGTACTCTGGTAACACGTCAGCACCCAGAGACAGCACCTACAGAGAGAGAAAGAGAGAGAGAGAGAGAGAGAGAGAGAGAGGAATGCTGCTTTAATCCTTCAATCCTCCACGATGCTCCTTTTGCACCTGTCCAAAGCAGATTAAAAACACTCTAAATGAGAGCTAATTTGCTGCAGCTGGACACCCTGAGACTCCTCCAGGAGGCTCAATCTGCACCATTTTATCCCAGCCTGTGTCCGAAACCGCCAAATTTCACAATATTCATACTAAATGTGACATCAGTATGTTTACAAAATAAATCTACTTCTCATTTACAAGCTTGTTAGGAATGTGAAGACGTTGACCACAGGTTTTTATAGGGTGTGTGGTTGATAAATCCACCTCCAGCCCTGTCTCCATGGTGATTAGTTTAGGGGTCAGATTGATTTGATGTGTCTTGTGTTTTGTTCTTGTTTCTATTTTTTATAAAAGTCTCATATTATTCTCCTTTTCAAGCAGTTTAAATAAGTCTCAGAGTTCCCTAAAACATAGTGTGTGAAGTTCCTTGTTCTAAATCCACTCTGATCCTGTATTTGATCATGTCTATAAACCCCTCTATTTCAGCCCTGCTCAGAACAGGCTGTTTCTGTGTCTGTACCTTTAAAGTTACAGCATTATTACTGTTAGAGCAGTGAGGTAGGTTACTGTCACTTTAAGAGAGAGAGCTCTCTAGCGGAGTGAGAGCGGCTCGAAGTGATTCAGGAAGTTGAGGATCAATAAAGGACCGAGCCACGTGGTTTCCTTACCATGGTATAGTTTATTGATTACGAGAACTTGGCTTTGAACCCCCCTTTAAGATTGTTTTTTAAAAATGTGGATTAAAGGAATTTGTTTTAGCAGTTTTACATCTGAGTCCTGTGGAAGTTTTTCCTCTTCAAGTGAACATACACGAGTAAATCCAAGGCCATGTGATCTTCAACCCACCACAAGTGTCATCAGTACTCTTATTTTGTGCTACTTCCTTCTTCTACTCCACTACATCTCAAATGCAATTAAAAGTTTTACTCCACTACATCTGTCTGAAATGCATGCACAAACACACACACACACACATGCACACATGCACAAACAAACACACACACATGCACGCACGCACACATACAGAGAGGAGGATGAGGAGGAGGTGTGAACAGGATAATTAATGAGCTGTGAGAGTTGAACTCCTCTGGGCTCTAACATGAGACTCCTGCAGCGCTGCACACACAGTCACATGTCACATGACTCCTGGATGACCTTCAATTCAATTCATTTTGATTTAAAGCTCTGTCATACATTTAAAAACAGTTCTGATCTTTTTGATCATACTTACAGACTTTAGTGGTTATTATATACAGTCATAGATGTCTGGAAAATATTAGGTTTTTCAATTCATTGATAGTGGTGTTAAGAAGTTGAACTATGGATGAAGACGTGAAGACAATGTGAACATCGAGTGTATATGTTACAGAGCGAGAAGGAGGTGAGTTAAATTGGATTTGCTGTGGTTGTTGTTCTTCCTTCTTCAGCAATTGGCTATCGTTTTTTCCAGTGACTATCCACAAAGCGCGTGCTTGGCTGTCATCGGGGCCCCCCCCAAACATAACAGGCGATCGGATCGTTAAGATTTGAAGTTAGTGCGGCCCCGACATTCAAATAAAAATAACTCATCACTCTTAACACAGCAACACCTGACAAGATCATCTTCACAAACATCAATAAATCAGGACTTTGATTAGGATCGTTGGAAGAGGGGAACCAGTAAGTAAGATTATCTTGTAGTGTGTAGGACGGCAGCTTAAACCCATTAATAGTGCTGAACACTGAACACACATATACAAACAGGCACCCACACACACTCCCTCTCACCTCATGAGTGACCACTGAGGATACTCGCACGGCTCTCTTCACCTGGTTGTTTCTGTGATCAGTGTCGTCCTGAGACACACAGCTCTCCACCACACTCACAGAGGACATCTTCAACCCGTTAATACAGGTCTGATACTCTGAACAGATCCTGTCCTTCTTCTTCTTCTTTTATTTCTCCTTCTTTGTCTGAGATGAAAAGATGTTCTACTCTCTTATCTTTTCTTCTTTTGTTCTTTCTTGTCTTTCCTCCTCCATCACTCTATCCCTATTTATTCCTCTAAGTTTACTCTTCTCTGTCACTTCTTTTCTTCCTTATTCCACCGTTGTATTTGAGAGTTTGTCCCACCGTCCATCAACAGCATCAACGACTGACTCCTTTTTTCCCTTTTACTCCTTTAAACAAAACAAAAATAGCTTAGACTTATATTTCTTAGCTTGTTTTCTTAGCTTGCATTTGCTCTCTCTTCATGGTACAAAGTTCAGCCTGAGGAACATTATAAATCCTGTTTGTAGACGATCAGGTCACACGTCTTCATAGGTTTTTAATTTGAAGTCAGGAGGACATTTCTTGTGATTCTTCTCTCGATCTGATCTCTGGACCAGCTTCAGGTCCTCCTCAGATCCTACTTATGTCTCAGTTCCTCCTCAGGCCCTCCTCCTCCGGTCCTCCTCGGATCTTAGTTCCTCCTCAGGTCCTCCTCAGATCTTAGTTCCTCCTCGGGTCCTCCTCGGATCTGAGTTCCTCCTCGGGTCCTCCTCAGATCTTCAGATCTTAGTTCCTCTTTGGGTCCTCTCTTATCTATTCTGCAGCTTTCACTTCACCCCTCTCTCTCTCTCTCCTCCCCTTTTTGTCCCCCTCCTCCTCTCTATCTCTTTCTCCTCTTCACCATCCTCTGTCCTCCAACAGGAGTCTATTAACACCTAAACCAGAGTACCACTATATTTATAAAAGCACAATAAACTAAGGCACAAACTGAGTGTGCCACTCCATGATTATACATGAGTAATGTCAAGCTGCATTAGTCCAAACAAACCTTTATTATTCTGACGTGTTTGTTATTAAACGGTCAATAAGGAAAATCCTCTTTATTAGCACTCGGATAGATCATCTTTTTAAATTCAAACCAAGTAAAATGTATTTTAAAACTTTGAAATCAGTGAAGTCAAAAGACTCAAAGAGGTTTTTTAGTGCAGTAGTATTATAGTAAAGCAACCATGAATGCCTGCTTCAATGTACAATACGATACAATCTATAGTCCCCTTAAGCCGGACATAGACTATGCTATTTGTAGTAAAGTCGAGGTGAAATGTCATCTCACACTGTACGACTGAAACGTTTACGATAACAGAAGCTCATGACCTGAGTGCTCACAAATACGAGTCAAATACAGACAAAGCATTGACATTGTCAATAAAGTTCCCTTTGAAAACTCCCACAGACCGAGGTTAACGTCAGATCTGTGTGTTGTCTCAGACGCATGGCTCAAATTCAAACAACATCCAAATACACACCTCTCAGCTTCACCAACAAACACAAGCTAACTAGCAGCTAATTCATAACAAATATTATCTGTCAGCTGGAGGTCCACAGATTTTTATTGCCAACTTCGTTCATATCTTTGGTGACAGAATGAGGAATAAACATCAAAATGTCATGCCTGCTGTTGCCACGGTCATTTCAGACACTGTCTCACAGTTAGCATTGGCACATGGTGATCGGCCGTCATGACACCCTGCACAGCTAACGATGTGTGATTGTAGCCTACAGTGTTGTCTTGGACTTGGACTTGCTGCACACATTTTTCTGCCTCCATATTATCAATAAATAAAACCAATAGAAATAAACAACAATCTTCATTTAAACACAGAAGTGTAGGCCAATGAACAGCATAAAACAACACATACTGAGCATGATGTGAATGGCAGTGAGGTCAGTGAAGGAGCACTCTTGCTGCATGCTGCACAAATTGATTAAAAGGGAATAACAAAGCATACAAAAGTATCTTATAGGGGAATGTGTTACACTTAGAAAAGTGTATTAACCGGGTAATAAAGCTAGAATATAAAAATACATTAAATGATCATCGTTACCATGGTAACACACTTAACATGTGGGTGACACAGATGATTAGGTGATGTGAAGTGACTGCTGATGTTCACATTTATTTTAGGAAAGAAGTCCTCTAAAGAGCCATATGTCCACACACACACACACACACACACACACACACACACACACACACACACACACACACACACAACACACACACACACACACACACACACACACACACACACACACGTTCAGGGTGATGTCCTCTCTGTCAGTAAGAAGACACAGTGAGAAATAATGAATCACCTTTAAAGCTCAACACTTTATTCCGTATCATCACCAGATCATCCATGTTGCTCTGACATTACTTTTGTTTCGTTTGTATTTATATTCACCACGGTAAGAGAGGACAAAAGTGTGCCAGCGGGCATCAAGTCACAGAAGCGGAGTGTACATTTCAGAGTTTGACTGTAAGAATTCAGACGTCCTCTAACCACACCAGAGGACGTCAGCGATGTCATCAAAGTGCCCCCGAGCCATGCTAAATTAACTATATGATATCAGCAGGTGCTCCTCATTAATCACCTGCCCTCCAAACAGAAATATCTGCCTCCTCCCTCTTTGTCAACCCCCCTCCCTCACCCTGTGTGTCCTCCAACAGGAGCAGCTGAGAGCCTTGGGGAACAGTGGGGGGGTGGGGGGGGCTTCACACCAGTCATGGAGCTGGAACATTGATGCTCCTTCAAAGAACAACCTCTGTGTGGCCGATTCATTTCTAACAGTGTTTAAAAAAAACAGTAGCTATCCTTACATTAACGTTTCTCTGTTTTCAGAACCTGCTCTGTGTTGAGCATCTCTGCGTTAAGTACAAACGCAATCCTGGTTTGAACCATAGCTCTACGTTTTAGAGTTTTACGCTATACCATAATTTAAGGTGTTGCACCAGCTGAGATGGTTCCAACATAGGCAGACGTTACACCTTAAAGCTAACACCTAGCTCCTGGCAGTATGGTATATATGGTTGTCATGGCGATGGGTTTGAAAGGCGGGATCACTTGGAAGATGACGAGGAGCAGAGGGGTTTTGCAGGCTGTTTGGTGTCAGCACTGTGCGTGATGACTTTGTGTTTTACTCCTGCTTTAGTTATCCACGAGTGGAGATCATTTCATCCATCCAATAATAGAATACTGTTAAATTACCATATGTAGTTGAAGATTTGATGACGTTAATGTCACATAGGAAGTGGCTGGATGCTAACGTTAGCCGTAACCAAACGAGTGCACAACTACAACATTTAAAAACTAGTTTAAAGGCAGGGTTGGTCATATTAGAAAACTAGCATGATTTTGAAAGTAGCATTCCCTCAGTGCTGCGTCTGCACCCACCCACCCAGGGAGGCGTCTGATTGGTTCATCAGATTGGTACCTCGTGGCAGACACTGGTCAAAGTTTTTACATACTCACAACTGCTACAGATGACGGATTTCCTTCGTTCCTTTTCAGAGCACATTAATTATTAATCAGGTCAGGACCTAAAGACAATCACAACCAAAATCCTTAAAAGTGTTTCTGGAGAAAATGACCAACCCTGCCTTTAAATGTAAGGTTTAGTTAAGGACACTAGAACTAAAGACAGAACTTATAAACAAATGCTGACACAGGACACTGGACTCTCGCTCTCTCTCAGCGGGGTTAATGTCCCTTCGTTCTTCATGAAATGTGCCTGAATGAACTTTCTGCTGCTGATCAGATTAATCATCTTTCAGTGAAAACATCAAACACTGAAAATCACAACTTCATTTCCTTGTTCACTGGATGTGACTTCCTGATCAAAAATGAACATAAATAAATTAAACCCCACAAATGTTAAATGTGTTAATCACAGACGATGTATCAACAGGGACAAAGTCTGAATGATCACCCATTGGTCACCCATTGGTTTCTGGAGGGCTGTTTTGGAAAGCCGAACCATGCTGGTGCGTTCGGTCATCCTACCAACAGGCAAAGACCTGAAGCTTAAAATTAACATCATACTTTCCTCTGGGGGATTTTTCGTTCTTCCTTCCTCACCAAGATTGCATTTTAGGCCATTGTCCTAAAAGTCTCCTCATGTGCATCAAAGCGCCTACGTTTAAGTCCTATGGGGACCTCTAGTGGCCAGGGTAGTTATGACAGCAGCCAAGAAGAAAAAAGGTGAAAGTCAGATAAGACAGAATATGAACGGGGTGAAATCAGGTCTGAACGTCTAACACCATTTTTCAACCAGCTAAACTACGGTTACAACAACATTAACATGACAGAAAAAAAAAGTTGCATCGGCGGGTAAAATCCTATCTATGCAAAGATGTTACACATATTACAAAGATGTCATTTCAACCTAATTTATTCTTGGAACAAAAGTCACACATACTGTACTTTATGGGCAGGTGAGATTTTGGGACAGTTGGGTCTCTTATAATGAGAGCAGTTTAAAACATTCTCCACAGAAGAAGAAAGAAGAAGACTGAGCATGTGCAGGTTCTGACATCACAAGCAGATAGACCCCTTGGTGCTGACCATAGACTGTTCATACTGATGGACAGAGTCATCTGAATGTGAAAGCACACCTGGATGGATGTACAGCTGGTGTGTTTGTAACAGAAACGTCAGTGTATGAAACGTGGACAAACCTGAGTGACTTTCTCTGTGACGTGGTGAGTCCGGTCCATCAGTTTACTGGGAGGTCTGATCTCACCTGGAGGTAATGCAACCAGGGGGTCAGCCTTAGTGTCCAACAGACTCTGAGTCATCTGCTGCAAGAAAGACAACACACCCACACACACACACACACACACAAATGCACTTTATTTTGGTGTTCTTCGCACACTAACACAATAAAGCATATCAAATCAGCAACTGAGGCAGCAGTAGACCAGCCTGCAGTGACTTGGATCTGGAGTCGAAGGGTTCGTACCATATCGTATAGTAGCTATTGTATCGTTTACATGCTTTCTTCAGCTGAACTTGAGATTTTGTGTTCACAGCTGATTCTCTGCTTCCTTTAAAAGGTGAACATTTTGCTGGTGAGGTATATTTGTGTGTACATGATGATGTGTGTGTACATGTGTTACCTGGCTGTTGGTCCGACAGCGTAAATCAGCGTCCGATGTCCCAACAGGAGTGCTGCTCTTCCTGACGGAGACCATACCTGCTGAACGACAGTTTCACATGAAAACTTTGACTTTGATTTGCTTCGATTGTGTTTATTAATCTTTAGTCCAAAATCATAAAGGTCATTCAAACTCCACATGAGAACACCTGTGCAGGTGTGCAGTCCACACGGCGGACAGATACACATGCACGTATAGATCCAATGTTTCAACTAGCGCCCTCTGCTGGTCAGATTAAAGGAAAATGATCAGTTCTATTTTAAAACTAATAAGAGATCCAAGAAAGTCACATGATTCATTCTTTTTTAACTTTTACAAATGTTTTAATCAGGAATCTGTGTCTGGGGAGATGGTATCTTTAAATCTTTTTAATTGTAGATTGAAGATATTGGAGGAAGATGCTTCATGTTGTAGGCTCAGGATATGTTGATCTGTGTTTGTATTTGCTCACTATTTTTATGTCTCAAACTTGTTTATTGTGCTGCTGCCCCTCTTGGTCAGGACACTCCAAGAGGACACAATAAGGTTCTCCTGGTTGATTCATTTATAAATGAAAATAAAGAAAAGTCACATCAGATCAGAACAAACAAAAATAGGTTGACCTCAGTCAGAGTTTTTTTCTCACCTGTACAGCTGTGTCTCAGCTGCAGCCTCTTGTCCCAGTAACTCTCTCCACTCTTGATGTCGTCCACTGAGGACGAGTGTTTCAGACTGGTACAGCTGCCGTCCAGCCTGCTGCAGGGACGAGCGGTGTGGAGGAGACGCTCCTCTTCATCTCCTCCTCTTTCTCTCTCCTCCTTTCTGTGCATGTAAAAAAACAAAACAAAGTGAGAGCATGTTGGAGACACACAAAGCTTCCTCACACAGCCGTCAGATTTACAGAGATGTAGAAGGAGATCAGGAACATGATAGACACTGAGTGATAAAAGTAGAGTGAATCAGAGTGAATCAGAGTGAATCAGGCTGCAAGTTTGTTATTTTACTTATTCCATTTGATTTTACTACTTAATCGTTTAAAGATCGTAGGTTTACATCGAGACTCTGGGCAACTCGTTGACACGTTCTGATTAAACTATCAGTGATTGCAAACCAGCACAGGTGTGTTAAGTCTGTACCTGGACAACCAACATGAAAGTGAGCTGGATTACCTGATCCTTGGTAGAAAAAGAAGTGAATTATCAAATCTTGATTATTTTTTCCCCCGGATTAAATCTTGTGAACATCAGTGCCCAGGAGACATTTTAACACTTTTTTTTTTAACATAATCCCACTGTGACGTCACAAGGGCAAATTTGAAACAGAGCATTTTTCACTGTGTTGTTAGACTTTTGCAGACTACAATCAAAGGACTGGATGGATTTATTTCACATTTTGTGGGTCGGTAGACGCTCAGGTTACTCAAATATATGTTCAAAAACACTGTGAAAGTGGATTTTTCATAATATGTCCCCTTTAACAATAAAGATTTAGAAACTGAATAACCTTGTTTGAGGATGCGATGAGGTCAGAGCTGGTGGTAGCTCCCTCATTCTCCTCCCTCCTCCTTCTATTCCTGCACTCACATCTAGCAGCCCACAGACATCACCTCCTTCTCTTCTCCCTCTCTCTCCCTCACTCCTTCTCCTGGGCTCCACCCAGCTGTCCTTCTCTGCTCCTCTCTGCCTCTGTCTCTCCTCCTCCTCCTCCTCTTTGTCCCACAGCAGGAGTCCACTCCGGCCTCCTCCAGCTGCTGTCTCTCGGGAGGGACAGAAGTTTGTCCAGGGCACAGACTCGTGCCCGAGTGGCGGGAGCGGAGCACCGAGCTCTGTGTCTGCGCTGGAGGAGGGCTGAGGGAGCGCAGGAGGAGGCGCAGACGCTGACGCCGAGCTGCAGGAGGAACAGGACAGTGTCAGAATTGAGTATTTTCAAAGTCTTATAAAGATCTTCCTCTGTGAAAATACAGAAATAACCTTCAATATCATCACATGTGAATCTGTAACATCAAACTTTAAACTGTAAGTAGGCCTTTAGAAAATATTACTTATTTTTATGAAGTTTTACCTTTTAATGGCTGACTCACTCTTCAATGTTGTAACATGTAAAGGAACGATATGTAGGAATTTCATTTGGTGCACCCACTGAAGGTCTCTCAGTGCAACTGCACTGTTGTAAAACACAGCGCTATTAACACCTCCACCTCATTAAAGATTTGCATTTGTTGACAGACATAGGGCGGTGAAGTTGGCAGAGACGTTGTGAGGAGATAAACAAACAAGTCCACTTACAAGGTCCAGCAAAATGACCGGATTTTGCACAAATATGACTGCTAGTGACTACTCTGCTAGCCCGTTGTTTGCAAACTGCATGTGGAGTATCGTGTAAAATTACAAATGAAAATCTAACTACACCTGTTGGAGGTGTATTTTCAAGGTGAAAATACTTGAATGAAGTATTTTTGTCGGACAAGTTCATAAAATGAATACAATTGTGCAACACAGATGTTGTGGTTGAATGTTTCTCCATGAGTGTAACAAACATACCCAGGGTGAGCCAGGGGATCCTCAGCACTCTGTGCAGCTCTCTGACGGGAGAAGTGTTGGAGGGTCGGGGGTCAGTGGGTAGTTCAAAGTTCAGGATGAACATGATGACAAGACCATCTTCATTCTTCACAGGAACCACATCTATCACACAGTGGAAACACACTCCTACACACACACACACACACACACACACAGGCACACACAGACGGATGGGAGAGATATATTTACATATAATGCTTCTGTGAAAAATCAGATTCATGTCATTCTGAATACTTCCTCTGGATGGTGACACTGTGCTGAGCAGATATCATCCTTTTTTTTTAGAAACTGCTGTTATGACGCTCGCTTCAAAGAGAGCAGACCCCATTGATAAAAACAGGAATAACATCTCAAATCATCACTGGAGGTGCACATCATCTACCACACAGAGACTGATCTTTTGTTTTGTTTGATCATCATCCTCTGTAACAAAAAGGTCTATCTCTGTAGGGATCCTCTCTGTAATGTTGTCACACACATAGCAGACACACTTTGAGCCATCGAGGATTACACTGCAGACATTACAGCCTGTTTCACTGCTGCAGAATTAAATAATTTACTGGACAAATTCAACATTTTCCCCCCTGCAGAGCTCAAAACATTTAAAAAAAGGACTGAGGTTAAAAAAACAGAATTCTTCAGAGGGAGAACCATCAGAGTGTCTGATGGCCTAGCCGGGAGGTCACAGGCCAACGGACGGAGACTGTGCTCCTCCAAGCGGGCGGCCCGGGTTCAAGTCCGTAAAGGCTTTCAAAGCCATAAACAGATTTTATAATAGATTTTTTAAAGGAAGGACCAGTAGGCTGAAGAACTCTAGTGGAGGCCATTTTCTTGTCCATCATGTTGACAGGTTAGATTTACAAGTCTGGCATGTAAAACGCAGAAACATATTTCACAAATTCACAATGATGTTTACAATGCAACCGTTCAACACAGCAAATGCTTGCACAGTTGTATCGCCTAAATGCAGGACAGACCGTGCAGAGAAACAACATCAGTCCTGATCCGCTGCAGGAAACATGGGAAGAAACTGTCAGACAATGGACCATTGTAGACAATTTAAGTGGACAGTGTGTGTGTGTGTGTGTGTGTGTGTGTGTGTGTGTGTGTGTGTGTGTGTGTGTGTGTGTGTGTGTGTGTGTGTGTGTGTGTGTGAAGGACATACTAGGAGTCGGCGTATGGGGCAAAATCTACGGCCAGACTGGATTAGCATCATGATAATTTATTCTACCTTTATCTCTATATGAGATCAAAATGACAAAACTAGAGGACCATCTGCTTTAGAAAACACACACACACCACACACACACACACACACACACACACACACACACACACACACACACACACACACACACACACACACACACACACACACACACACACACACAGACACAGACACACACTTACCAGCTGTGTTGTTCCATGTTTCAGGTGCTATAGAGACCAAACTCTGACCTGTTCCGACCTTTTTAAACGAAAACAAGTTTAATCAGCAGAGATGAGTTGTGATTTAAGCTCTAACACTCTGTGACTCCATGTTGGATTCATGATGATGATTATAAAGACCTCAGACTGATATTAAACCTCTCTGTCTCAATTTAAAACAGGTGAGAGGAGGAACACCTGATGAGTTTATTAGATTAAAGATCTAGATCATCACACAGAATATGAAAAATCCCATCAATGATGCATAGACAACTATTTTTAAATCTCCTTCTCTGAACACAGTATAGAGCTGTTCCAAAACTTCACATACCTTCAAATACTTTTTTAACCATGCTTTAAAACAGTACAACCTCTGTTATTTTAATAAGTGATTGCATCAAAAAGCATGTTAACGGCTACCTGATAAATCGATAACGATAATTATTGTGATATAATTTTTCTGAACGTAAATATGACAAATATTGACTAAAAGTTTGATATATTAAAACTGTTATTACATCACACAAAAAACTGGGAAAGGGGGGCACTAATGCGCCTTAAACTCTAGTTGCCACCCCAGATTAAAGAAAAAACGAAAAGGACAACAAACAGCCAATCACGAGATATGGAAAGGCGGGCACACAGACGTTTGGAGTGGAATGAAAACACAGATGAAATTAGCGGTAGTGACACCGAAGAAAACGCTGAGCCTACCAGCTCAAAGCATGGAGACGACGTTGTCAAGACAACAAGAAAGGCCACTCAACTTCCACAGTTTAGAGACATTTTGGCTATTTACAGTCCGATAAAAAACAGAATAAAGTGTCTTCTTAACTGTGCCGAAGACAAGTGCAGCTAAAACAGGCAACACCACAAACCTTTGAACCTCTGTGAAGTCTCTTGTTCTAAATCCACTCTGATCCTGTATTTGATCATGTCTATAAACCCCTCTATTTCAGCCCTGCTCAGA